GATGGTAGCCTTGCAGATTCTCGAGGAAGTGGATCATCAATCGTCTTCACCGGGATAACCTTAACGCCGCTCGGTTCCGGACTCTACGAAGTTTGGAAAATAGTCCAGAAGCTTCGTCCAGAGGTGCTACCACATCGGTCGGCTTACCCGACTCAGACGACGACGATGACTTCTTCGTAGCATTTGTCTTGCCCACGTCTCCTTTATTTGAACTTTCTGTCACCGGGGGTGGAGAAACAGTTGATGCGGATAGCTCTCTCTCCTTTACAGATTACAGTGCGTCGTCACAGCGATCTACCACATCTTCGAAGATGACCGGGTCGTCCACTACCGATTTTAGAATGGGTATAATGGTGATAGTTAAGGCCGTTAATACCTTGACCAATGTAGGAGCCAAGTCAATGCAATCTGAAAAGCTTGCCACAGTGAGGATACCAGACAGAGTGGACGATGACATTTGTTGGCAGGAATAGATGAAATGAGTTAACCTGATCAAAGAAAGAGATGGTAAACCGTTCCAAAATTAAGACGAGTATATCCAATTATGCGCCGCACCACTCAAAGGCGGTCGGACTTTACAGAAAGCAGAGAATAAAAAATTAGAAATAAATCATTGATGTACAGCTCATTTTCTCGTTTGATGTAACGAGTTCCTGGCAACCCTTTATCTCACACATTTGGCCATGAGTTGTAGCCTCACACTTTCAGGACCACAGGAATAATCCTGAACAACCCGACCGACAATAAGGAGTCCCGACCGACCTGAGTCACCTCGGTGGTTCTTAAACCGAACATAGAAGGGACCAGACAGCTGTCCGACGGTGCTCACAACGCATCAGCTACAAACCGTAGCTTACAACCACCAAGATCACATGAGTGATCCGGAACGACCAACCGACCGACGTCAGAGGGTTCGTGATACCCGCAACACAATCGAACCGGCTGAAACACGACTCGACAAGCCAGTTCGACCCCCAACCTCACGCTACCCCGCTCAACTGGAGGTAGTGCTGGCTGAGGTAGACACAACTCAAGACAAAACCCAGAAACAATAGAAAAGTACAGCACGTGGAAAACACGATGTTACGAACCTTTCCGCCAATCCGGTAAGCCATGTGGGACAAAGAAACAAAGAATGGAGTTGAAGGAGATATCAGAAGCCTCGTACGTATCCCATCAGATGCTGACTTACAGCAACTGGGCCTCTCCGAGTGAGAAGTTCTAGCGTCCCGGCGAGCGCTCGACTCATCTAGCGCTCTTTGTGACGCTCAACTGTCTCTCCACTCTACACAACGGTCTTAGTCGTCATTGACCTTGCTCCATAAATGGACCTCCATTGAAACGCAGAGGAACT